TGCCTTATTTGATTCTTCTTACTCATTATGTCTATCATTGAAACTTCTCCAATGATCCAGAACTATACTTAAACTTGTAAGTATAACCACATTTACTAAACTTTAGTAAATCATAATGAATAATCTTATCAACTTTGTGGTGGACCTGATCAGCGCACACCCAAGTGTATCCGATCCCTTTGTCCTTCACTTGATTCACATATACATGTGAACAAGGAATTAGACTTAATTTTCCCAAATATATAAAAAATTCTCATGATCATACAATACAAGTTGCATGATTCCAAGTTTCTATCCAACTGAAACTTGGGCGATGAGAATCTTTCCTTATTTGGTAAATTATGACACTTCCACTAATGAAAAAAATCAAATCCATTTACCCATATTGCTTATCAATGGAAACATCTAATCAACAATTTTTTCACAAATGCCATTGTAAGGATACTTAAAATAAATAAAATCAAAACCATTTTTCTTTTATTTTAAAACTTTGCGGAAAAATTTATCCTTACAATCCATATGGAAAACTTGTTGTTATCTATTCCTAAGCAATATATCATAACTCTTAAGTAACAACTCAAAATTCTGATCACCGAACCATGCGATCGAAATCCATCTTCGCGATCAGAATCAGCATATACTTCCTTTAAGTTTCTTCACCTTTTCTTTGATTCTTAAAACATCAACATATGACCTCGTCACATTATGCAATAAGAATCTCAGAATAGAAACTTAATAGAGTTAGACAATGGACTTTACCTGAAGTAGAGTCAAACCTATTGACTTTACCATCCTTAAGATGTTTCAGGTAAATTTAGCAGCTTCGCAACCAATGTCTTTCCTTTGGCAACAGAATCATATGGACTCTTTGGAAACGGTACATGGGACTATCACAGACTTAACCTTTCTCTTTACCATTGGTCAACCGAGTGACTATGGCCGATTCCCTTTCCATTAGGAAGAGAAAGTTTTTCCTGGACCTCCAATGTCACCATTTTCAATGTCCAAATAGGTTGGAAAGTAGATCTTCCAATCCAATTTGCTTTACTAATGCTCCAAATCATTGTTGATTTAGCATCATCAAGCAAATAGGTAAGATCATTAAGGGTCTTGTCGCGACCTGTCATCAGGGAGTGACTGAAGAACCAAGTCAACATCTAGCTACCTCGAGACTTCGACATCCGACTCTCCCGACTTGTCAATATGTGGCTTAATCCCCAAGATTTAAGCACATATGGACTTTGCTTGCCAATAGGGATTGAGTGACTTAGAACTTATCAAGTCTTAAAACTTGTGGGATAGGGAGATTTATTGGAGGAGGTGGATGAAGTGAAGTATGATTTCTAGTCCCACAAATGCCCAACAAAGGGATTCATCTTTCACCTTGATTGCCATTTGGGATATCATCTTCATTAGGAAGCTTGTTCCTAAAGATTTGGGAAGACCATAGTTGTCTAAACTCGACATCTATAATGGGAGAAATTCAAGTTAGTTGATTTAAAGTCCTTAATATAACACCCAATATGAAATATTAAGGCTAGGACCCAACAACCTAGTTATAACTGGAAGAGGATGTCGTAATCCAAATTATAAAATAGTTGAAGGTAGGTAAATGACGATTTACCAATTTCCACCATGAAAACGAAATATTTTATTATTAGGTTTTATTGGTTTTGAAACTCTTAGATCTTTTGAGATACATTGAACTTTCAATGGCATGTTTGAATCTCGATTGTGCCCTCTCAAGTTTGTGATTGGGATGCCGAGGATCACAAACAAGGTGTGAATAACCATACAAATTGACTTGGTACCCTCAACAGTATTACCTAATCGATGTGCCGGTTAACCACACACGCTCCACCGATATATAATAAAGTCAAGTTACCCTTTTCCACTCTTACTAGTCCATGTTAGTGTGCCGGTTAACCACACACGCTCTACTAACGACTTGGTAAGGTACAAAGTGTAATTTTATGGGCTAGCACCTTTTCACATTTTCCTAAGTAACTAAGATTGGGAATTTATAAGTGTTTATTTTTAGTATTTTTCATTATACTTTTAATGAAGGGAGAATTATAGTCCATTCCTACCCGTTCGGCTAACGACCCTCCACCAGTCAAGGAAGCGGTGGGTGAGAGTGGACACCCATTAAACTGCCATTTTATAGGCAGTAACCTTATACCCCCTTATAGACCGGCTTCGTGAATGAGGCCTACTAACGGTAAGATTGACTTCCTCTTATACATATCTATATAATTAAAATTATAATAATAGTATAAGGGTTGAATTTTAAACTTTTAAAATTTCAATGTTCAATTTGGAATTAAAGTATACATGAGGAGTAACTTTTCAAATTCCAAAACTTGAGGGCAAGTTTTGAAACTATTTCAAGACTCTTTAAATCATAACTTATGAGTTTAATGGTTCATTAAAATGAAGACTCTTCATTTTAATGTAACCCCTTATTCTTTAAAACACTTTAAAGAAGTGTCTCTTCAACATCCATAACTTGAGGACAAGTTATGGAGTCATTAAACTATTTAATGGAAAAAACTCTTACATTTTATGTAACCTACAAAACTTTTATGAGTTTTTATGATTCATAAATATAACTTTTCACATAACTTGAAGAACAAGTTATGAAAACATATTTTATGAACTTCTTTTAGACTAATATGGATTGAAAACAACTAAAACATAATTTTTCATTATCAATCTAAACTAACTCATAAATCAAGGAAACATAAAATTCTTGAAAATTCATAACTTGAGGACAAGTTATGAACTCCATACAATTTTCAACAAGATCACGAATTATATCACCAAACAATTTGCACACAATTCCTATGATCTAGCAAAACTCATAAGCATGATTATTCATAATCAACAATTTTCAAGAATAACATGAACACATATAAACTTGAAACTTTTATTATAGAATTGAAATTGGTTTAACATAATCGTTATCACATTCAAAACAAGTTTTATAAGCCCAAAACAGTCAAAGGTAATGATTCTAGACCAATTCCAGCACCAAAACACGAAAATATGTTGTCTGGGGGTCCAACTCGTCGAGTGCATGAACAAACTCGGCGAGTTGGATGCATTTTTCCTTGGACTCTTCGAGTCCCTTCATGGACTCGGCGAGTCTGCTGAGCAGACAGCACCAAAAGTCGATTTTTAAGCAGTTTAAGCAAGTACAACAAGAAAACAAGCCTAGTCTCTGATACCACTGTTGGGTTTTGAGCAATCTAACACTCCTAAGTGTACATGCAACCCTAAATACCTTGGATCTATGTTTTCTCTATTATACATGAAAATATCAACTTTCCAAGGTATTGTTCTATTCTAGCATACAAAACTTTGAATAACACAAGTTAGAATAACATACCTTTTGTTGGTGCTTGTCTTCATGAAGCTTGAGTGCCTAGTGCCCCAAGTGTGACACCTCAAATGGTTCACACAACACCATAAGCACTTGGAATAACTTAGAGAGAAATTAGAACACTTCAAGAATCGGCTTGCCCTCCATGCATATCTAGTCGCCGATTTCTCACATCAATAAGATGCTTATATAGTTGTTACAATTAGGGTAAACCCTAATTGTCATGGCTTTCCATGGTCCTTGGATCCATGGGTTCAAATACACCATGGAGCATCCAATGGGTTTGAGCCCAACTTGATAATCCATGGAGCATTAGCCCACTATATAAGTATGGATGATTTACACAATCAACCCATATATTTAATTAGTCTTCTTTTGATCAATTAATTAATTCTAAATCAATTATTGATCAATACTAATTAAATAATCTTATTAATACATTAGAACTTATAATATATTAATAAACCTTAAGTGTTATTTCTTTTCATTTTAGTCTATCCAAGTGCATGATGCCATGCAACCCAAATGGACCATGCCGGGTCGGGTCAAGTCTTACCAATTATAGTTATGGACTTAGACATTAATCCAACATTATATACGTGTTAAAACTAATGTACTTTTCAAGGATAACCAGGCTTTCAGGGAAACTTCATTTAACCAAACAAGTATGGTAGATACTTGTACACTTCATTCCGAATCGATAACCAACCATCAACTTTTAAGGAAAATAAGGGGTTTTCCTGGGATAACTTAACTTTTCATAAACAGGTTCTTTAACAAATGGATAACCAAATTACTTTTATAAGAAGATATGGGATTTTCTTGGATAACAACTTTTCATAAAATCAAAGGAAAACTTATTCTTTCACCAGAAACAAACCACTTATGAACTCACCAGCTTTATGCTGATATTTTTAAAAATGCTTGTATGCTCAGGTCAACGTTAGACAGGTATCCCGCATTCTTTTGGAGAAGACGGAGCGTATAGAAGTCTCGTCTTTACTTTTGTTATACCGATGTATATATAAAACATGTATTACTTTCTTTCAAACAATTGTAAATATTTCTATGTAATGTAATGGTTGTGTTTACTATGCTTGCTATGTACATTGGTTGTAAACCCTCCAATCTACACTCGAATTCTCCGGCTTTTTTTCCTTCAGAATTTGTTTTCTAAATCCTCCAATCTACATAAGAACTCCCCAATTCATAAGTACCAAGGATTTATATAGTTTTCAGGCAAGGAATCTGGCTTCCCGTGCACTCATCTTCTAGAAACACCCACTCCACGTCGTGTAAGTGAAGTCCACGTCGTGAATTGAGCTTTTCGCTGGGATTTTCTACTTTTAATTATTCCAACCTCCAAAGTTCCGCTTCTTGTCGCTTTTGGCATTTATTCTTCAAGATTGCTCCTTTTGGCTGCAAAATACAATTTAATCTTATAAGTACCATTTTTCTTTGCAAATAACCAGAATATGTATAAAAATGCTTTCAAATATTGCCTAAAAATGTGTATAAATATACCAATATCAATATTATATTGCATTTAATTGATCTTCACGTTATTCATAAACATCTTTCCTATTTGATGTCATATGCAGGTTTTCCTAAGAGTATGCCAGGCACAGGATCTTGGAGTGCAGCTTCCCTACCAGCGGAGGAGCATGCAGTACATGGTGCATCTGATTGTATCGACACATCAGCAATGATCATCACTTATAAGGAGGAGATTACTGAGGACAACGATGACACTGAGCTCGCCTATAGTCCAGATGAAGGATGGAGAAACGTTGGATATGAAGTCTTTGGGTCCTCACACCATTGGACTCATTAAGCAAAACAGAAAGGGGAAGGTGGTATTTCAGGGGTTATACCTTTTGGTCAAATTTGGACGATTTGTAGAATCGAACGAAGCAGTCGAATCTCATGGATCGTCAGATAAGATTTCGTCAGATCATACTTCATCAGAAAAAGGTTATCTCAGTGGGTGATGTGGTAACAGTATCGGATCATGAAGAAGAAGAAACTGCTGCTCATGATGTATCAGTTGCAGAAGAGCATAATCTACAAAATATTCAAGTTGAGGGAGATTATAATGAAGGGTCATCTAAGAATACTGTCGAGCCCAGTCAATTTGAAGATCTTGATCTTACTGACTTTGATCAAGATGACATTCCTAAGACTTTTGGGAGAAATGATGATTTTCTATCAAGTGTAAATCTCAATACCTTGCTAGACAGTGTCAGTGATGTTGCTACCCCGGCAACAGAGACAAGGGAACATGAAGACGTTTTTAATTCAACCCCCATTTCTCAAACACAAGTGGTTGGTTCTTCTATTCCTATGGCGACAGTGTCATGGTTTCCTCCCTTTGACAGTGCATTGCCTACATCTGAACCACTTGAAGATGATCAACAAACAGACCAGGCTATGCAACCTCCTACAAAAAGAAGAAGAAGAGATCCTAGGTTTGGGCTTTTGGACTCTGGCCTTTCTCAAGGCGTGCCTACTCCTCCAACTACTACTCTGGCTATCATAACCACGGAACCATTCAGTGAAGGTTCCAGTACCGTATTTGAAACTGGTGGCTCCTCTATGCCACCAGGGCTCTCTCCCCCAGGGGCAGATCTTCAAGAAGCTTCAATTCGTTTGGCTCAGTTTTTGGCTCAAGAGAAAATCGTTGCTACTACTTCTAAGGCGAAAGGGATTGTTTTTAATGAGAGCCAGTCTAGAGATGAAGATTATTTAATCAACGCACTTCAGAAAAGGGTCAATGTGCTTGAACAGAAAAACATTGAACTTAGCATCCAGGATGAAGATCTTATGAGTGAAAATACAAATCTAAAGATTCAAGTCTCTGATCTCAAAGAAAATGGACTTATCAAGACCAAGCAGATTTCTGAGCTGCAAGCTCACTTCAATCTTTTGACCTCCAGCTAATTTGATCTGAAGAAGAAACTAGAAGAAGATTTTGGTGTTAAGTACAAGACTATTGTTGATGAACATAGAATTAATTGTCACTCTGAAGCTCACCGCATCGTTGTGCCAACTGCTGATACCTCAAGGGTTGTGAATCGCTTTGAAGATGAACCTGATCATGCTTCTCACGTTGCAAAGATAATCAGAGACAGACAAGCTGAAGCAGCTGAGAAAGGACAACTCTTATTCAAAAGGAGTTCCGATACAAATGCACCTGGGAACAAATCCATAATCACCGTAACAGATCTTGAGGCCGCAAGGTTTATAGACACATACGGTGATAGGTCAGGAATTATTTCTTGGGGTTATCATGATCCCTTGAAAATGTGGAATGTAAGGAGGAAGAGCGACAATACAGAGCTGTACAAGGACAGTCATGACTTCAATTCTTGGACCAGAGTAGATCTTTCGGAGCTCTCTCAATCTCCCTTCTCAAATCCAACAAACAACCAACAAGCAACCAACTTCAAACATTTCCTTGAAGACCAAGTGAAGAAGGGATTCCCATCGATGAAAACTGCTGAATCTGTGATAAAATACTATCCAGATGTCATTGACCCTAAAACTGGTCATCCCCTACAAGTGGTGATGTGGCCTGCTACAAAACAGGTCAAACAAATTCCAGTGCTTCAGAGCTATCCGGATGGATCCTTGAGTTCGATGCTTTATTGGGTATTTGATAAGACAACAACATTTGTTGTCATCAAACTTAAAGAAGGATGCATTCGTCTATATGATAGAAGGGACTTGTTCCAGTTCAGAAAATGGGACATTCATCACTTGAACAAGTTTCAGATTCAAGTTGCTGAAGAGATTTTCGAGTCAGTTGCGAAAGAGTACACTCGATGGTTGCCGAGATTATTAATAAGAGAATGTGGAATGGAGCCATGGGACTGGATGATGTAATGCTCGTGAACAAAGATTGACCTAAAGCTAGCACCAAACCAAGGGGAGATTGAAGGGTCTAATTAGTGGTTTGGTCTAGGCTTTCTATGTAATATGTCATTTTGGTTATTTGATAGCTTTATTATAGTTGTTCTTGGAGTTTACGGTTGTCAAGGAGTTTACGGTCGTAAGCTGTTTATGGCCGTAAACCCAAGGTCGGCCCAGTATTGTATAAATAGGGGTTTTCTAGGTCTTTTGTAGTTGTTGATGCCTCGGTATTCTCAGCTCCTGTAACCACAAGTTGTACCAGACGTGATTCTAATAGAAAAGCATGTGCAAGCTTGTTTGTTCTTTATTCTACTCATTCTTAATTGATTTACTGATTGTGTTTGTTATTTGATCACTGGTAAGATCCGTTTTAGGACCTTACACATCTAATAAGGTATAAACTTTATTCCCTTTAATCCCAAGACCTTTACTAGATCAAATTACAATCCACTATCCCGAAATTAGAAGCATCTCGTAATTGGATGTTATAGTTGTGATCTTGAATTGTATTAAAAATAAAGCGGCAAGAAGAACTGTGATTTTAGCTAGAGAGACAATATGTATGCAAGTACCATTTAGATATGACTTTGCAACCTTGATCGTTTAAAAGTTAATAAATATTAACCTTGACACAACTAACTAATTGAAGCTTAAATTGTTTCTTTTACTATAGTAAGTTTTGTATTTGTTTTATTATTGTTATTGTTCCATACATTAATTATGAGAATGTTTTTTTAATGGGCTCGTTTTTTATTTTGGTGCAGACCTCAAATGGTTTGGACCGGCCCTGAATGCATATATATATATATATATATATATAAAATGCTATATTATAAATCATATTAGTTATATCTTAAAATTTAAGAGGTATAAGTTATAAAGCTTTTTATACAAATCAATTATGCATACATAATTCATTAATAGTTGCAAAAGTTTGAAAACTTGAACTTAGGAAGATTATTAAGATATTGTATAAACAAGCAATATAAATATTAGGTATAACCATAAATATTCTATTTAAAAGTTGTAATTGTTTATTACATCATAACTAATAATAAAATCTAATAATTACAAAACTATTCACCTAAAGAACTATTTATCGTAGCTGCTTTGCACGTGTACACGTCTATTATATATATATATATATATATATATATATATATATATATATATATATATATATATATATATGTGTGTGTGTGTGTGTGTGTGTGTGTGTGTGTGTGTGTGTGTGTGTGAATATAGTATGGGTCAGGTTCATGTGAGACGATCTATTTTTATAAGACCGTAAAATCACTTTTTCGAGTAAAATATTATAATATTATACTATTCATAAAAATAAAATATGTATAATATTCTAGTAACCTAAGACGATAATTTTAACACATTTTACATTGAAACATATAATGTTAAAATATCATACATACTATATTTTTACAAACACTAGAATATTTCACTAAAAAAATTTGTTTTACGGTCTCACAAAATTAAGTTTGTTTCAAATGAACTTTTATATATATATATATATATATATATATATATATATATATATATATATATATATATATATATATATATATATAGGGAGAGAGAGAGAGAGAGAAAGAAAGAAAGAAAGAAAGTTGAGTTCAAATAGGATCACTAACTTTTTTAGTAGAGCTTATTTTTTTCGAAAAAAATATCTATAATTATGTAAATTCATCATTTTTCAACATTTTTCCATATTGATATTCTAAAAAAAATCCTACAAAAAATGTGCCCCATACGTACATTTTTCGTTAAAAAAAAAAGAAAAAAAACTCATTTGTTTTAAAAAAATCCAACGAATCATCTTCTATATTAACATTTTAGACAATTAAAACATATATATATATATATATATATATATATATATATATATATATATATATATATATATATATATATATATATTGTAACATCCCAAAAATACCACTCAAAATTTTTTGTTGAAAACTTTACTAAACCATAATATCAATTATCAAAAGATAAAAACCATGACTCGTGTATCTTAAAATGTCATAATAAATTTATCAAATCGAACTAGTGTCAAAATCATATCAAAATATCAGAGTCTATCTCTCAAGCTAAACTGTGGTGTGTGTCATGCCATCAACCCAAGCCCTTTCCTTTGCTAGCTGAAGTACCTGAAACAAAAAACTGAAACTGTAAGCACAAAGCTTAGTGAGCTCCCTGGGCCTTGCCCACTGCATCGGACCGAAATCTGGAACTGACTAGAGCCCCGCCCACTGTATCGGGCCAAAGTTCGGAACTGCATCGGACCGAAGTCCATAACTAACTAGGGCCTTGCGTACTGCATCGGACCGAAGTCCGGAACTAGCTAGGGCCTTGCCCACTGCATTGGACCGAAGTCCGGAATTGACTGATCATATCATAACATAATCAAAGCATATCACATAAACATAAATATTGCATACTGCATCGGACCCTAGTCTGGAACACATAACACATAACATGCTTGTATCACAAAGACATCAAGCATACTAAACTACTGCATCGGACCGTAGTCTGGAACTACTACTATCTAAACGAGTCGGCATTGTGGTTGTAGACCCGTTCCTATTGGAAGGAAACTTACTTCGTACTGTTATCTGTTGAAACGCTGACCGGGAACTGTCTGACTGCTGCTCCGGTAACTCCCCGACTACAATTCCCAAAATACACTTAATCAAACACTGATAACTAATGTTAGAGTAAAATGACTATTTTACCCCTGGTCAAAGTCAACCCATTGGCCTGACTCGTCGAGTTGGGCCGCCAACTCGTCGAGTCCCTAACTTTCCTTCTACTTCCTTACCCGACCCTACTCACCGAGTTTAGCCACAACTCTACGAGTTCCCCTTCCTTATTGCTATCGTGTCAACCTTCATCCGACTCGCCGAGTTGTATGATCAACTCGTCGAGTTTACCTTCATCATAAGAACACGCCTAGACTGTGACTCGACGAGTTGTATGAACAACTCGTTGAGTCCATTCTTACGGGTAAGGAGATTGCTTTGGACGCGCCGAGTCCCTCTACACTCAGATCCATGACTTAGCT